AGGGCAAAAACAACAAAAGTGTCACGCCATGCACTTAAACAAGCATTTGAGCCGTATGTGAATGGGTCGCCACTGTTCGCTCCGTGAGCTCCGTTGTGCGCCATTTGAAAATATATTTACCCGTGCCACGTGAGCATATACCACGACCCCTGAACAAAGTTCTTTAACCAAATGGCAATCAAGAACACATAGGCCCACTTCGCGACGGTGAGTCAGCACAGCTGGGACCAACTTGTCTAAGGTAATGCTCCTCGTATCGATTTAAGTGCCAGTACGAATGCTGTCGTTCTAGGAACCGCACGGCCTCCTAGACGGTCATAATTGCGGACCTTGGGACGTCGAAAGCCTCTTTAACGTTAGAGTTGAGCGCGTGACGGAGATTAGCTACGGAGCCAATTAGAGGGTCATGCAAGATCTGGAAATTCAATATACGTCGTGATTACTTCATATGTATACCGGCTGTGGCAATTAAGTAGAGCAATCCCTAAACCTAGTATGGTATTAACGCGTGCCAGTGAAATGCTAGCGATATATCCATAACTATAACTGTACGTAAGGTAATTGCATGTGTCAAAATGTTTCTAAGATTGCGTGTCCATGTCAGCGATTTCCAGACGAGAGGCATGCAAACCACCACTGAGCTCATAAAACGTGATAAATGACTCAAAACATGCTTACGATATAAAGCTGTCCAGGGATGTGATGTCCCCTACCGCTCATTAAGGCGCAAAATGACCGACGACAAAAGTCGACGCGCCCTAAAACCCCAATCATAATCATAATGCTCATTAAGGGAATGTTTCACATTTGAAGATGTTACAGCAAGTGTGAGATGTGATGAAACAAGCTCACTTATAGCTATTGATATACTTTTCAAGTGGAAAAGACTGCTCTAGACTGCACAATTCTATGTTTAGTAAATATGTCCCTAAAGCGCCATGGCTTGATTACGTACTTTGCACAACAATGATTGAAAGCCTATTGACGACCGTTATATCTGGAAATCGTGCACACGGACGCCGGATATTAACTACTCGACCATCATATTTTTCTCGGCCTTGATTACCCCAGGGCTTATGAAGTGCCAGGATTTGAATGAAGTTATTATGCCGTCTCGAATGCTAAGGTGACTTTGTAATGCTCTCTCCGAAATACTCTCCGCATTTTCGAGGGAGTGTAGCTCAGAAATTAGAGGGGTGTAGGTCTTAAGATCGGCATGGGTGTGAACTGCACTGAAGGGTCTTCAAAATGGCTATTTTAATTCAAAACCCCATATGAATGTGAAGCACTCGCTTTAACACTCATATGGGAGGCCGGTTGAATGCGATAGGTTCCGGTGTTGGGGGGAGGGGGAGGGGGGGTGGGGTGGAGGGGGCAAATCGACCTCATTGAATAAAAAGGCAAAGTTGGATGTGCCTAATACACAGGATATAGGTATTACTATAAATGGAGTCCGATGAATTACTTGGACGCATGGACACAGTTAGCATGTCTTAGTTTTTACTGTACTTGTTCTTGTGTTTATGCCAATGTTGCGCAACATATTTTGCATTAGTGTTTCGCACGCAACCAACTGACGCCTTGATTCAGATTTCAAGCAAATGCCATTTAGGGTCATTTAAGGTCAATAGCACCTTATGAATTTTAGAAGCACAAGTTAACAACAAAATATCTCTTGACGGCAAGTACCTCAAAGCAGAGGTAGATCAAAATCATGTTGGGTCACTGACCTCCACTGACCTTCCTTAAGTCAACATTAAGCACCCGTAAATGCTTTTGTGATCAAGGACTCCAAGTGTGCGCCAAGAACTGCCCCATGAGATAAGCTTTTCCATCGAAAAACTGTTTGACTTTAAGCTTGATATCACTTGACCAAGAGCCCAAGTTCAAGGTTATGATTTTGAATCCGGATTGAAATCCGCTGTAACAAATCACATGTAGGTTACAGGAATTCGTCCAAAACTTTGCTATCACATAAAGAACGCTGACCTAAGAATTTCCTTCAGTGACAACCACGACATGACTGACCCGCTACACGTCCATGGCCCTGAATGAGATGTCTTTTTTTGTGCACCACAAGATCGCGTTTTCACTTATCCACGGCTCTGCAAAGCTTGACGTCGCCCCGCCGCACTGTTTTCAAGTATCTTTTTTGTAATACGTCAGGAATAGGTCAAAATAACTCAGCATTGCACGTGCTGAAGGTAACGTAGAATAAACAAAATCGGCACAAATCGAGGCGCCAGAAGCATAAAGCTTTTTTGAATCTTGCGTGCATGTTCAACTTTCCAAAAGCGCTTAACTAAACCATTGCACACAATCACGAGCTGATCATTATGCCTGACAATGCTATTTTCCATCTTTATTCTTTTCTTCTTTCTGCTTTTTCCATCGCTCCTTGTCCATCCCCCCCGCCGCGTCTATCTCGTCTGGTCCTATTCGTGTATTCCGTGCGGTGGCCGTCTAAAATTCCGCTGCACTTCTGCCATGCAATGACAAACGGGGCTAAGCGTTATTTTTCGGAAATGGAACTATTCACATCGTTCCTTGCAGGTCGAAAAACTGTATCTTACGACGAAATATGAGAACTTAGCAAAATTGTCTCCAGAATACGTGCCAATTTTTTTAAAGCATTTAAACACGTTTAACTCACGGAGGCCTAACGACATTTATTTTCAACAATTTTCCTGATGGCGCTTTTTATCTTTTTGCCTCTGGACGGCAAACCCCTAGCGACGCGTGCCTTACTGAGGCACCACCAACGTGGCTCTCAAATATCACGCACTCCAGCCTGCTGCGTCGAAATCCTGGTCCCTCTCACCTGCCGTCGGTGGGGGTCCTCGTGTTGCGTCCGCTCCGTGTCCGCGCGCGCGCACGTCTGCCCTGAGGTTCGCTGTGTCACACCCACTGCCGTGGGAGGCCACCGGGCCCCCGGCACCTGTTGGAAACCGCTCGGAGCCAATTGCATGCCGGTAATGGTCATTATGTGTACGTCACAAAACAAGGGCGCAAATCTGACCGGTTCTCAGGGGGTAATGGTGTTTTGGGGTAAGTCGTGCTGGCGGGTTCGCTGCTGGCGTGCGCGATGAGCGAGGGGTAGCGACCCTCGGGGCGTGCCCCCGTCCTGCGCACGCCTCTGGTGATGCAGCTCGGGGCGCCACGCCGGCTGCAGCGCGCTCATAACTGGCCGACGGGCGTCAGTCACGGCGGAGCTACCGTCGGGTCGATGCAACGGCCAACTGACGTGCGTGAGTAGTCACGGCCGGTCAGAAGGCTCAGGGTGTGGCGCGGGACAGCCGCCCGGCACCGGACACTCGCCTGCACCCCTGGGACCGGCCGGGCGGGGCGCGGTACGGTGCGGCACCCGCTACCAGGCACAGGACACCCCCTGTACCCCCGTGACCGGCCGGACGGGGCGCGGTTCGGTGCGGCACCCGCTACCAGGCACAGGACACCCCCTGTACCCCGTGACCGGCCGGACGGGGCGCGATACGGCGCGGCACCCGCTGCCAGGCACAGGACACCCCCTGTACCCCCGTGACCGGCCAGACGGGGCGCGATACGGCGCGGCACCCGCTGCCAGGCACAGGACACCCCCTGTACCCCCGTGACCGGCCGGACGGGGCGCGGTTCGGTGCGGCACCCGCTACCAGGCACAGGACACCCCCTGTACCCCCGTGACCGGCCGGACGGGGCGCGGTACGGCGCGGCACCCGCTACCAGGCACAGGACACCCCCTGTACCCCCGGGACTGGCTGGACGTGGCATGGCACGAGGCCGCAAAGGCGTGAAGGCAGGGCACCGAATAACAAGCAGTTATGGCGCCCTCAAACCCAAACCAACAACAATAGGGATCGAGGCAGAGAGCGGTCCCCACGCCACACCCTCTTTTCCTGGAAGCGGAACGCGTTCTCCCAAAAATACATGGACTTAAACTGTTTGAAAATAGATCAGCATCGAAAGAAAGAGGCTTCCCCATTTCAGCGAACGAACCAGTGGCCGTGCCTGTCGGCCGTCGGCTCTGAACGGAGGAGTCACGGCACGGCCCACAAAGCAACATTGTCCTCTGAAGCTGCCCAGCCGCGCGTGGACGTTAGTAGCCGACAGTCCAGTGTCCATTAGGCTTTGTTCTCTGTGAGACATTACCGCGTGGACCCCTCTATGTCAAGCGCTTTTAACATCCAACGATGGTTCGCAGCACGTATGGTGTCACGCAACTGCTCGACACCACGAGAGGTATCACGTCGCGGCTCGACACCACGAATAGTGTCACCCTACTCCTCGATACCACGAGTGGGGTCACATTACCGCTCGACACCACGAGTGGGGTCGCGCTTCTGCTACTGCGCGACACCACGTGCATGCAGTCACCGAAGCTCAGCAGCGGAGACGATTGTGCTGAAAGGCAGGTGTTGGGAGTTGGAATGCGGTACAATGAACCGTCGGTGTCATGGCGGTGTCTCGTGCAATATAAAGCCAAACATGAAATACACTTGCTGGTCGCTTCGAAACGACGGGAGGAAAATAGATCCAGTGTGTTCAGTCTTACACGACAGTCCAGCACAATAAAAGCTGCATTAAATAAAATGAAATGAGAAAATAATGGCGGCAAGCGCCCTTATTAACTACATTGCATTTTTTGATTTTTGAAAGAAACGTGAACGTTGAAAGGCGGCATAACAGTCATCGGGCGTGCAGGTTTTTGCAACAGATTGGGGCATAGCTCATTACTCCCGGTAAAATCAACGCTATTACGCAAGTGGCGTGCAACATTTCATGCGCTTCCATTGCCACGCCGGGTCTTTTCAACTTTGGGTTAATTAAACGGGCCAACTATTTCCGACTCCGTGTAAATTGCATGGCCCAATTCCCATACATGCAGGATGTGGTGTGATGGTTCCTCAACACTTTGCCCTTTTTTGTTGTCTCAATGAATGATGCCAAAATATGCGTTTCTTCACCTGAAGCTGCCGCCCTTCTCCAGATCTAAACGAAGTCAATGCTGTTAGAATGTTGTATATTTTACCAACGTTCTTAATCTGACGAACGAAAGCATGCAACTCACCGGATATGGAAGCACAGAATAGCGAGGTTTTGAGGGCTTCCTCATTGCCATACACTTAACTTCAGTGTATTATTTCCGAAGAATCTCTTGATACACTTTACATATGATGTTTGAGAAACGCTGCGCCGGCAATCTTCCATGCGCCCGCAGTCTCATTTTAAAAGACCATGCGATATGTATGAACGATAAAAGATGAATCAAATGCGTTCACAGATTTCTGCGCCTGATTATTATGATACATTATAGCAGAAACATCATCATCATCAAGTTGCATCTTGAGGTTCATGACTCTTCTAGACACTTCGGGGATAACCCATTTATGCAAATTATAGCCATACGCTTTTGTGCTGTGACACATATATGACAGTGTCACGAAAAAAAACAATAAAACCGTTCACTGATGCCACCGGAGTTCTAAGGTATTCACCGATAAAAATGCATCGCAACATGTGCCGAAATCAACGTGATTAGTGTTCCTCACCTCCCCTTCCAGAACCGAGGTGCGTTGCAGTGCTGTCGTTTGCTACATGATTACTCGCGTTAAAGTGAGCGAAGAAGAGATTTGGTTTACTTGAAGAGATGTAAACATTGGAATAAGCTTCACCAAAAGCCAGACAACATTTAGTAATTTCGTGTTGTTTACTTGTATCAGGATCAAGATGCCCATCACACCACCTAGCCCCCATCAACCTGCCCCCACCCAGACCTGGACCTGCCCCAGCCCGGACCTGCCCTAACCCAGACCTGGACCTGCCCCAGCCCGGACCTGCGCATCAAATTGAGACAATATGCGATATACTCGACACGTTCGCCGGTCTGCTCACTGATGCTTGGTCGAGAGCCAGTAGACCCTGACGTAGTCGATCGGTCGCTACTGCTTGGTCGGGACCCAGTAGACCCTGACGTGGTCCGCCGAGCTCTGCGTCCCCATAGGAAAGCCCGATCGGTTCCCGGTGGGCACTAGAAGCGGTCGCGTGATCCCGAGCCCTTCGTGAGACGACTGCCCCGCACTGAGCGGGGCTCCCGACACGTTGTGCCCCGCGTGCACAACGCGTGGGAAGGCCCTATGTGGTGCGTGAGCCGCGCCGGGTTGGACGATGTGTGGTGCGTGGGATCTCGTGCCGAACGACGGAGGGAGCGAGCCGGGCACCACCCGCACCAGCATCGGCCGTCCGTACACCACCTTCGGGGAGGTCCTGGTCTGCCCGGTGCCTGACCGCGGGTACGGGAACGGCCAGACCACGCGCACCCTCTGCGGTTGCTGCGCCGTTCCGGCCGGCTGAACGGCCGCCCCCGGTACGCCAACAGTGGACCCACCCGGCGCGGCGACAGGCCGAGGGGCCGGCGACTGCTGCGGGATGGACTGGCCCACGGCAGGTACGGGCCACGAGGCCAATCCATCGGGTCGGATTGCTTCGGCGCCGTAAAAGGCGTCCAAAAACTGAAGCACGGCCTGTGGGTCGTGGCGACCGTTTACGATGCAGGATGGGCACAGGTTCTGGTCGGGGAACTGGATCTTGGGGTGTAGTGGGTCCTCAGTAATGTCGTTTGCGAGCCGTTTGTTGACCTTGTTGTGAGCCCGCCACAGCCAGAACACAGCGTCGTACGCGTTGGTGACGTCGAACAAGCCGTCCTGGGCTGCCATCCGCTGGAAATGCTGGAACACACGGAGACAGCCTTATCAGCCCGTGCGTGGAACTGTATTCTCAAGTCCGAGCCAGTATACAGACGCAGACAATCCGTTCATGCCTATAGCTCAGTTGGTTTGATGTTTATTTTCGATTATGGACATTAACCAGTACATAATATGATGAGTGGATTGGCACGTAAGCGGAGCGCTTGAATCTGAGCGCCTCTCCTATAAATAATTAGATATGGTCATCGCCGCCAGGGAACCCACACCACACCACCCACTCGCCCAATCTGTAAGCCGACACGGGCCAGGCGCCCGCCGCCGCTCCGGTCTACACACACAGCCGTCTCGGGCCGGCGGCGGACGCCCGGCCAGCAACGCCACCCAAAGGCCCGTCTGCTGCCTGCGCCCGCTGGAAGTTTTAAAGCGAATCGTTTGGTCGGTCCGAAAAATAAATGTTTGGAAAATTTTTGCCATCTGCTGCCCATTGCGATCCTGTAAATCACTACCTCTGAGATAGATACTTAGTTGCTCGTAGTGAGTGAAATCACAAAAGTTTGGAATGATACGATCTGCTTTACGTAGCACTGAAATTCGGATTTCATGATAGCTAGGACAGTTCAGTACAAAGTGTTTAGGGTCTTCATATAGATAGCCACACAAGCAAGAGGGACTAGGTGTAGTTGGATTTTGAATTTCGAACAGGTGAGCATTCAGGTCTGACATTCCCATCTCAGCCCAGTATTTAGGATGTTACCATGCCTGGATCCAAAGCTGTGGTACACCGGAGGCGCGGCCACAACGTAGCCCTGGTGTATTTCCCGTTTGAAGGAACGAGAAGACCGAAGAGATGATGCCTCAAGCGGGAGCTGGTTCCATCTTCTCGTAGTTGATGAAATATAGGATTTTTGGTATGTTGAGGTTCTGTTCGGTGGTAATGTGAGTGTCATTGCATTGCGTAGTGGGCGTCCTGTTGCAAGTGCTCGTATGTCATGTAGAAGTACAGTAACGTTTGTTGGCAGTAGATGTTGGTCGTGTATGAGGGTGTGGAACAGCGTCAGTTTGTGTATGTTTCTTCATGATTTGAGTGTTCCATCCTCAATCGTCCAACAGTGCGCGAGTGCGTGTTCTGTAGAGGGCGCCTACCTTCTGATCCGCATACCTTAGGAGGGGTACGGTTCTAGCCGCCCAATATGCTCGCAAGTTGGCCTTGCAGGCAGCGTCGGAAATCCATCCATTCAAAGGGTTCGAATCAAATCTTTAAGAAGTCCATTTACAAGGTTTGAGTTAAATCTCAGATAGAAAAAAAACGCATGCCGGAAGGCTGGTGACGGCTCCAGCCATGATATTTGATGCCTAGCCGATGGACCAAAATGGTGCGATTGATACCAGAGGCCACCGAAATAAAATATGAACGAAGATTATCTGAGCATCCTCCCTGCTGGGCTCACAACATCCTATGAGACAGGAGCCAATCACTCGAACCCCGCACACCGGCTTAATCTGAACCTGGATCGGTATCTGGGCGAGGCGAACAAGCGACGCCCGGTTCTCCACGCACCTGCGAGCAGTGGCTGCAGCTGAAGAAGTTTTTGACGTAGCCGTGGATAGCCGGCAGAACGGTGACCGCCCGGCCCAGGCGCTTCTCCGTCCGCCGAGCCTGCACGGTGACGGTGTGGAACAGCGTCCAGAGGCCGCAGCTGTAGCCCCGGTAGCTCGGCTTCGAGCCGCGGCACGCCTGGTACGGCTGCAGCTCCGGCAGGCCCGCCCACGACGGCGTCTTCGAGCGCATGAAGCGCTCCAGCTCCCCGCCGGTCACTTTCTCGCGATTATCGACGAACTGCAGCAGCTGGCTGAGCGACTGCAGCATCTGCTGTCGGCCTGGGAAGTAGTTGACCAACATGCGCAGGAAGCCGCGCAGTGCCGTCATCCTCTCGCCGGTGATGTTCTGGTGGCTGGTGACCTCCTGTTTGAGCGCGCCGACGATAGCGTTCTCCATGTCCACCATGAAGACGGAGCCGGTGGGCGCGCGCGTGGGCGCCGGCGTCACCTGCGGCGGCGGCGGCGTGGCCGGCGCGGCGGTGGGGACGGCGCCCTGCTGACCTCCCGCGCCGACCAGCTGCCGTAGCGCTCTGCCGAACACCTGGCGCGGCTCCTCGCCGCGGCCGGCCGTCACCGTCTGCTGCCGGCCAGCGCGGAACACGACCAGCGCCGGCCGCTCGGCTGTCGGCGACTCCAGTCCGGCCGGCAGCCGCGTGGCGCGCGACACCCGCAGCGCGCCCCGGTGCCGGCTGAGGTCCAGCTGAACGGCGCGGCCCACCGTGCTGGCGGCCGACTCCAGCACCAGCGCCTGCACTGGCTCAGGCCCCCGCAGCAGCTGCTGGAGCGAGCCGCTGCCGGCGGCGGAGGCGCCGCGTCAGACAACCAGGCACGCGCGCGGGAGAGAATGCATTGGAAGATCAGTCACAAGAACAGGCAAACTCGGCGGTGATCGTGCAGTGCTGATAGCAGGGGACCGAACACACTCGGGGAAAACTTGGACCTCCAGGGATGGAGTTTGAATATCTTTGGGGGAGGGGGCAATGCTGATCTGCCCCCTCCCCCCAAATACTGGCCTGAACCCCACAATACGTGTAACCTGGCTGCAATACTGTATCACATATTTGAAATAAAGAATGTTGAAGGGAATTTTCCGCATTTGAATGTATTGAGACAAGTATCAGGCATGATCAAATAAGATCACTTATAGCTATTGGTATAGTTTTAGGTGAAAAATACTGCTTTAGACAACACAATTTCTCTTTTGAGTTAACATGCTCCTCAATGCGTCCCTGTTTGGTTACGTCATCGGACCTTGCACAACTTTGATTGGGGGTCAAATGATAGCCGCTTTGTTTGAAAATCGCGCTCAAACGCCAGATATGAACGCCGCGAAAATCATATTTTTTTTGCTCTTGATCGCCACATGGCTGATAGAGCGACAGAATTTGAATGACACTATTATGGCGTCATGGAAGCCTGGGTGACCTTGAAATAGTCTTCCCGAAGCCGTATGCATAGCTTCGCGGACGTGTAGCTTAAGAGGCCAGGGGGCTTAAATCTTAAGACTGGAAGGCCGCGAACTGTTTATCAATAGCATGTATCTCTAGATCGGGAAAGGTCCAACGGCTGAACTAATTGGTTCAAAAGGCTGCTGTACTGTGCTGGTGAAGTGAGGCGCCAACACTGCATCATATATATGGATGCATGGCCACGGCACGTATATATGGCCGGGTTAACAAGCCAAGTTTATCGGTTTTTTTCAAAAGATAAATTTTTCTCTTTGATTTGCCGGGGCTTATACTGAGGGAATCCAAAAGTTACCAGAAATTCATAACACAAAAGAAAGTGCTATGCAAATAAATAAAATTAGCGAGGACGTAAATGACTGCAATCCGCAGCGGATAAGCCGCGGATGCCTTTCGCTCTGCGGTGGTCAATTGGGTCCCTCCGATGAAACGGTAACAGTCAAGGGCGTTGCCGGACTTTCTCGGAGTGTTACAAAAATATTGAGCGGTTCATAAATTGAATGCCAGAGTTAATCGGAACAGGGTTAAAATTTACATGCATATGCCTAGCCCTTGTTCGCCAGAGAAAACAATAATTTCTTGATCATCAATCCGCAAAAAATATAATAGCATGGTTCCAAGCACTATCTCATTTCAAGCAAATTTCACCTCGAGCAAAGCTCGAAATATTGAGCACCGTCAAAATAATCGTTGTTCAGTAATGACATCGTTTGACTAGTAATGCCTGACACATCAAAGGTCGTGAGCTCGGCATAAATACTTTGATCTCGTAATGCCGAGAAACCAGGGGCTGAAGCCCTTTATAAATCTTCTATCCAGCCCAGCTTACGACCGTGGCATAAAGAGGACGAAAACCGCAAGGAAATGCGTCTGGAAGGTGGAATGGATAGATAAGGTTTATGGGTTGCCCCCCCCCCCCCCCCCGCTGCAGATAAGAGACGCTAGGGAGGGCAATATAAGAGTGCGTCCGAAGTCCCGTGATTTTGGATGGAATTCCTTTGAAAAAAGTCCAATGTTTAGTGCAGGCATCTTGGAAGAGGGGCGCAAGCAGGGGGGAGGGGACCTCATGGTCTGTCCCATTGCTTTGTCCTGCATGGAAACGCTCTTACAAGTCAGCAATCCGACCAGAGCATCACCTAGACACAAAGACATTAAAGCACCAGGCCAACGAAGAGCCACAAAGGCCCATCGACGTTAATCTACACTAGGTCTATCACCCATCCTTGAACTAATCTTAGCACCTGACCTGCCTGAATTTGGCTATAAATGAGACCCTTAAACGTGCAGAACTTGTCCAAACGATTTCTTACTGTTGCAGGGGAGGAACTTCCTACAACTTCATTTGACGGCCCATTCCGATGATTCCTTTCTCTTTGAGTAACTAACATCTGCCTCTTCATAATGTTACCCCCACCTCTTCCTTGTTGAAACTGGTTTCCTCTAGTCTCGGCCTACTTTTGACCACTCACGTGAAGGGCGACAGGTCGGGCCACCCGGCCGGCCGCCGACGGCCGTGCACGGTCGTGACAAACTCGACGATGGCGTCCACCATCTGGCCGGGGTGGTGACGGATGGTGGAGGTGCCCGGGTCCCCGCGGCTGGCGCCGGGTCCGAACAGCCGCACCGCCGGCACGCCGTGAATGCCGTAGCGCCGACAGATGGCATTGTTGCGGCGCCGCGCGCAGTTGATGGCGGCCACCTTCACCACGGCACCCCAGTCTAGAAAGGGCGCAAACCAGCGGCGGCACATGTGATAGCAGCACGAGCGCCCTCTAACGATCCCGTGTCTGATCTACGAATGTCTTGCGTGCCAAACGCTCCGAGAGGTTTGGCTACAGAGATCACCTTGTTATGGAATATCTGCGCACAACCAAAGCATCTCTTACGCCAATTACTCAACTTATTCGATACTTCAGTCAATATAATGCTTTCTTAGTGTCTGACACGCATGCTTAGCTGCTCAACTAAGAATACATGGAGGAACATAACAATGGTTAAGTACAAAGGGGCGTCGCCTTTCAGGCGACATGTGGATCCCACGTCCCCCACCCTTGAACCCTCAAAACACACCCGCAGCTTAGCAGTAAGGCTTACAGTGCGCTGGCGCGCGAGATAGACAGGTGTGACGCCTGCTATGGTATCTGCACACCATAGCATGCATTCGTAAACAACATCGGTTCCATCAAATAACTCTGCCAGCACCTTACAACGTCTAACCTGCAAACGCCCTCAGCACGTGGCCAATACCTGCGACACATGTTTTCTGGTACGGACAGTTGGTAATGGCGCGTCCAACAACAGCAGTCAAACTGTCAAGCGCACTAGGTAAAGGTTTGATGAACAGCACGCGCTTGCACTGAACCTCATTCGGAGCTTAGAACTTGTGAGTATGAAAATCCGGATGTGAACAAAATAATTGTTAGCAGTGGAATTGGCCCAACGTTTTTTTTTTTTTAGACCGGTAGCTATCATTCTAGATCACGATGCAGTTAAAATCAAGCCTGCGTTCCTCCACACGGGAGCTCCCAAAACCCCGCACTGCTGGCGCTTCTCTAGTAATCTTGGTTCGGCCCGACGGTTTTAAGCCCTCTCGCGGGAAAATCAACAACTAAAGTTTCGTATATCTGCCACGTAATGTTCCCACACCAAATTTGAGCACAATCGGCAGCAAGGTAAGATAGCTAAACGTCGAATATGCCTCCGATGATTTTGCAAACTAGAGTCTGGAGGCCAGAATTTGATTGACTTAAAGTCTTGTTGGCAAACAAATAAGACGCCAAGGTATCTTACGACTGGGGGTGCCCGTGCTGATTTTTTTCTTAGAAATGCAATCAAACACTTACCACGGGTAGCTCTGGGCCACAGTCTTGTTAAGCGCAGATTACCGCAAAAACATTGATGCCACCACCCCAATGGGCCTTGGGGTAGCCTTCAGAAGTGCCAACTGGGGACTCGGCGAGTAATGCTATCGTTTGACCAGTCAAATAATTCCTGAGAATAAAACCCCATACGTTGCTGGTTTCTCTTTACCCGTCATTAGAGCACCGCTTGAGTGCACCTCCATGCATGTGCAGTCCTGTCACAGTGCTGCTACAAGTCAGGTGTATCACGAACACGTCAGAATCGTTCGTCCCAATAAGGGCCAGGCGTCGCAGCGCTTACAAAAAAGGAACAAACAGTGAACATTGCCTGTCCCGATGGCTTCGTTGGTTAGACGAGCACCTGCCTCAGGTGCTCTTCCTTGCTCACTTGCCCGTGTTGGGTTGGGTTTGAATTATTTTAGGCACTTGAATCATTTAGAAGTTGTTTGTGCCTGACTCGTATTGCCTGTGGCCACTGGTAGCGGTCGCGCTAAAGGTCGCGTGACGCCGGAGGGCAGAGCGGCCCGTGCCGGGCCGGACACTGCCGCCCCTTCGGCCTTTAATCGCAAACTTTCCCGTTGACCCGACATTTCGCGATCGGCGGATGAAGGTCAGAGGTTTCCACAACAAGCACTGCTTAGCGCGGGTGTTAGCCCACAAAGCCATCCGATCAAAATGTTCAGGCTGAGTTGTAAGAACTTCACCCTAGCTGCCCACTTGTCGGCCCTGTTCAAACCTCGCTGTCTGTGTGCGGACCCCAGCAGAGCAGCCCGCATCAGTCCGTGCCTCACCCTTGGTCTGGCGCGCCACCTCCGACCAGATCGGCGCAAATTTCTGACAGTGTCCGCACCAGTCCTTGTAGAACTCCACAGCCCAGGCGTGGGGCTTGTCCAGCAGCGCGCCGAAGAAGGTGGTGTTGTCCAGGTGCACCAGGTGCCGGTCGCCCTGGTACAGGTCCACGCGCTCGGTGCTGATCCGCTGCGCGACCGAGCCTTGTCCCAGCTCAGTCAGCACAGCCAGCAGAAGCAGCAGTCGCATCATGTCTGCAGAGGGGCGGTGCAGCACGGTGACTGCTCTGATGGGGAACAGTGCAGCACGGCGACTGCTCTGGTGGGGAGCGGTGCAGCGCGGTGACTGCTCTAGTGGGGAGCGGTGCAGCGCGGTGACTGCTCTAGTGGGGAGCGGTACACCGCGGTGACTGCTCTGGTGAGGAGCAGTGCAGCGCGACGATTACTCTGGTGCGATTTACAAGAGTTCTGGGCGTTTCACGCAATAGCAGTAAGCGCAAACAGCATTACTGACATTGGGGTTTACAATCCACCCAGCTGCTGAGGCTGTATGGCCTCGCCTGCCTGCAGCCCTCGCAGGAAGGGCAGACACCGCGGGCGGTCGAGCCCCATACCTCGTTTTTCCCGGGAGCGCGGCTAAACACCCGCTGCCATTATATGCACAGGTACACATGAGGCGGGAGGAGGCTACAAGTGCGTAAGTAGCGGGCCGCGCTGAAAACGAACAGCACAGATCTCGAGCTCAGGCTTAAGCAAGGGTAAGCCCTTTCCGAACGAATTCAGAGCATCTGGCATTGCTTCTGAACTGCGCCAGGCGGATCTACCCAATTTTCAGACATTAAAAGATGATCAATTTTGCAGACTCTGGAGTGCACAAATGTCGATGAAAAGCGATGCCACCGCGTTACGGCGTGATCAACGAAACCTTGCACCGTTCTCGGCTTTACCTGCAGGATTACTGAATTCCCTTCTGGCTACTGCTAGATTTACTGTAATTCGGTGAATGGTTTGGCCGTTCGTCAGTGTCAGTCGCAGCATGCGACAATACCTCAGCACACCATCACAGGTCATAACAGGCCGTCCTAGAAGCATCAAAATAGAAAAATGTGTTATCCCGTTGTCACAAATAAGTCAGTACAACTGACACGTCTCCAAGCAATGGTCTACATATATCATGTGGATGGGAAGAACAAAAACAAACACGTCCTATGCGGTGGCCCAGCCTTGACCAGATCTAAACTGACCTTGGTCTTATCTTGCGCTAATCCTCAGCGTTTATCAACGCCATGGTATGAATCAGGACTGCGCGAGAACGCTCCTCTGTTTGGCGGCAGTCGCAAAACATGCAGACCATGTCGCGATCACCGATGGTCGTGAAGTCATTTGAAGATCTTCATGCTTATGACGGGGGGGGGGGGGGGGCAATTGTTTGTAACCCGTGACACCTGTCATCATGTAAAAATTTAAACGTAAGGATTCCGAGTTAAACCTGAGAAAGTGAATTGTCTAACCGGATATATTTATGGATTGCCATTTCATTTTTGCCAAATGCGACCGTGGGATGCTTTTTATGATGATGAAAATATGAAAATGCGAGGGACTGCTTTTTACCTCGCGGGCAGTCACGGGTCACGAAATACCGTGAGCCCCGCCATTCCAAACACGTGTGTCGTGACACACAACATCATAGGCTTACCGGGAGAGCAGAGGCCTTTCGATGACAAGGTGGAGCCAACTGAAGCCTTCAAAGCCTCGCATGCACCACGCTGTGCTCAGGACGCACCCAAGAATAAGCAAACATTAGTAAATAAGAATTTGCATCAGATCTTAGAATTCAGCGCATACCTAACACCACCATCTTCCACGCATGAATAGGCGATGTTTATACACTTTGACCTTCTGGAAGGTGACTCGTGTTTATAAACGGAGGAGCTGGCGGACCTGTATTCGGATGAAGAGTGCAATGAGGTAGCCACGCAGGTCGGATCTATCAATAACATTGCCTCGGTTCTCCGGGGAAAGCGCAGTTGTTTAAATACAGGCGGTGCATTGAAAACGACTTTGGGGAGGGGGAGAAGGGGACTGGTGAATTGCTCCCGCTCTAAGGCTTTTTTGCTGGTTTCTATGGAATGGTTTGGGAGAGATCGTTGAAAATTTCTGACTTCCCGAAACATGTTCCATACTTATCACGGGTGTAGCCACTAAATAGTAGCAATGCCAATGTCCCAAAATAGGATTTTGTTCCCTTCAAATCTGCCTGTACAGTGCGCTTTTCGTGTAAAATGACATTTTTATGCCAGGCTGTCTCCTTAAGTCTAGTTAAAGCCCCAATCCCAATTTATCCCCCAGTCTTAGAAATAAAGCAACACCGATCACACGTATCGGGTCAAAATGATCGGTATATCAGATATACATGGGTTGTTTCAGGACCAGTTATTGGGAGACAACTCTCTTGAAATTTGGCAAAGATTATAATCACGCAAATTATACACGCATAATTACTTCTGCCAATAATATGCGAAGATGGATTATGCAAGAGTGGTGATCTTTACAGCATGCTTCACGTTACCTTGGGTTTAAAAGAGCAGTTAAATCTCCGGTGAAGGAGGCTGTTGCAGCACGGACATGCCCACTACAAGATAACGAAAGTGCTACAGCAAAGTCGGTTCGACGTCTCGTGCTAGGTAGAGTTTTTAATAGTTATGTGCTTTTCAGGTCGACCTTGGAGGACCGAGGTACAAGCACAAGTGTTTCCCCTCGGCATTTAGGCGCAAACTTTGCAATTCAGTCAAAATCTGCACACAAAACGGTAAAGATAACCAATTCGTGTTCATGTTTTGCGAAAAGGAATGCAGATTGCGTAGCCTCAGACCCAGGGTCCGATGCAGATAATGTAGCCTCAAATGGGCACCATATGACCGTCATAGTCGGTGCGTCCCGGAGCCCAAATCATCATAACAAAGCCTCAAACATAGGGTCCGCTGCAGGTTACGTAGCCTTAAACATAGGGTCCAATAAATGGGTAGTAAATCAACATACGAACACATGCTAATCTGGTGGAAGGTGAGAAACATGGTGCGCAAAGGCGCCGCCACGGATGAAAATGAGCTTCGGACATCCCTCGATGGAACGTTACCCCGTTACGCGGCATAAATCTATGGGGCTGCCTGTCCGGAATAAGGTAACTGTCCCCTGTCCCCACAGTTAACTCAGGTGTATTTTGCATGCGGTCCACTGACATGAACGATTGTGCATGCGAGTGACAGAACACCGGTTCTATCTAAGTGATCAAAAAAGACCGATTCTGCAGTCAATTTTGAATTTACTTTGACTCAAGTGCAAGCAGCCCACGACGTGGCCTCTGCCAGGACTTTCGCTAAAATTGTTGAATAGGGATGGGTGGCGCCCCAGTGTTAATTCATCATCACTCGCTAGTTCCGCTGGGGCCAGCTGGACAGCAACAGGAACTGGCTTTGTGATTACGCTCCCGCTCTTTGCGTTGCGTTGCTCCCGTTCGTTACGTTGCGTCGCTCCCGCCCGTTGCTCCTACGATGGGCACAGTTTATGTGGTTTGGATCAATACGAAGGTTGAAATGGCTTAATAAGCCGAGCCAAGGGTTCTGTATGGCCATCCAGAAACCGGGCCATTGACGTCAGGACGGCTTGCGTGATCGATTCAACGATAACTGCTATCGCATGCGCTTCAGACTGTGTCGAAAAACCGGCCAAAACCTGTGTGGTGTTGCATGTTCCGGATCCATGAATCGGGCCTTGATCTTTAATCGACGCAACGCTCCCTCGAACAACGCAATGTAATTCAGATCAGTTCACGAATGCTATGGCAAAAGGATAGCATAATAAGATCAACGTAACATACGGTTGAACACCATCACAACTGGTTTGTTCCATTTTGCTTATCTGCATTGCCCATATGCTCCCTCATGTTTTTATATACTGACAGAGGTGAGAATAAAAGAGTGAACAGTGAATAGATCCCGCCGCCACTTTTCACATCATCAGCCAAGTTGATAACTTTCAAGTTGACCAGCTGTCGGAAGCTATCATAAATTAGTTCATTCGCTGTGCGTACCATAAACGGTACGTAAGCTACATACGGCTTGCGCATCTTTTGTATATCATGATTCAAGTGTGTATCCCGTCTTTTTGTAGTTCACCCGCTACAGAAGATGCGTGCGATTTGATTAGTAACACCAACACTCTAATGTCCTTCTAAATGGCTTAAATTTTGATTTTTAATTGGCCGACCCTGCAGAGGAAATCTCAGTTGACTCCCTACTCACCACCATGAAAGTAATACATTCAATTTGTCTTGCTATTTCCAACGTGTGTATTGCGCAATATTTGCCACACACTCACGTGTCATAACGTTTGTGTAATACATGCCACGAAGACTTGAAATACTTTATTTAGAAAAAGATACGCGAACATGAAGCTGCCATCCCGCGAATTCAACGAAACGTTGATCTAGGACCTTGATATCTCCCCTATGGCGCTCACCACAGCGGGCCTTTGCGATATTTTTGTTTGGTTTATAGTTTTTTTAGCTTTAAAAAACTTGGGAATGAAACATCTTATGATCCATGCGAAGCCCTGGTTCAGACTTCAACTAACGCACTTCTCGATAACAGTCCTCTGCCCGCTGGGTCAATTACAAACGCTTTATTCGCGCCATCAGAGGTGCGCCCAGTGATGGTCGTGACAACGGTGGTCGCGGCTGCAGGGAAGAAGCGTAGTGGTGTTACAAAGCGTTGACCGCGTAAATTGTACTGGAAGATAAGAAAACAGGGTATTCTGTACTTTGCCGGTGCTGCAGTGGCACTACCCAGTGGTACTATTCGAAGTAACTAGTCTGTAGGTTTCACTAAAGTACGTTTTTGAAATGTGCCTTGAAGCTGAGGAACTTTCTTTAATCGAGCACGGTTACTACAACCATCTCAACTTAACAATGCTGCAGAGGATTACAGGGTGCATGAATTCAACTTTAATTTGAGCTGAGCGTATTAACAAAGCTGCTGTTGTAAAAAAACACACGAGTTTCGTTAAATGTTGCACTTATGCATGTTATGAAGGAATTCAGCAAAAGCGTTCGCAGGTAGCGTTGTATAGCAAAGCCTCCCAAAACCATAACTTCCCGGTTTATCCTAGTACTTGACCCCAAACTGTTTGCTTAGCGATGATGTCACTGCAGGAATTACCGTGAAACTCGGACATAAGACGCGGTCAGCCTTCACAACGTGCGTGATAGACCATGTTTTGGCAATTGGAAGGAAGGCACTGCGTATTTGCAGGAGGAACAGGTTGCACCAACGCCAAGCCGTTAAAAACATGCAGCAAGCCCCGAGCAACGCTGAACATAGCGTCGGCCCCACGTGCCCGTGACTGCCCATTGACGCCGGCACCGAGAACGCTTAGAAAAAAAGATGTTGAGGTGGTGGTAGACATCAAATATCAACCAATCCTGGCATCCAAGCAGTGAGGCGTTTCAGTCGACCATTGCTATATCTTTTAGTGTCTTTCTGTGCCCATTATGTAAGGCTTTGGGAAAACCAGCCATTGCACAGTGAGTGGAACGTTGTGAACAGCTTGGTCAACATTTACACAAGTTCCGTTCTCCACACATGTGGCTCAATCCAGTGTACCTATTTATGAAATGTGTCATGGTGACATTGTGCACTGGGAAAGCAAAGTGGGCAAAAGCAAACTAAAATGTTTACTAAATTCATTAAACCATTTTTAGACTGACCATGAGTGTAAATGTGAATTCACTATGTGAGGATTATGATGGTTAGTGAATACCAAGTTTATTTATCATCATGTCAGGGTTATGGTGATTAGTGAGTAGAAAGTGCAGCAAACAATATACAGAAGCCAAGGTACCCTTAAAACAGAGGCTCAACGCTGAACGCCACAGGGCACAAATCAAAGCCGTAGTGGAACGTTGCCTTGAGTTCGCGTAAGAATGGGATCATATTTGTACATATTTTTCATAATTAGGGGGTTTCAAGCTATCATACTATTCATTACACAATGATTTTGGTGCATTAGTATACTGAGGATATTACATAACACACACGTTTGAAAAACCCAAACGAATAGGAATTGTTAATGTTATGGTGTTGGAGAGGGAGCCCAGTGAAATTTCTTCCATCGAAGCGTCTTATTCAAATCCAATTTTTTAGCTTTTCAGAAGGATATCGAGATAACTGGTGTTGCCGATCAACCCAGACCCGCGTGGTCTACGTTAACAATGCAAAAAGTGGGATGCTACCTTCGAGACAAGCGGTGCATCACAGAGACGCCGGCCAATACTATATGACCGGAGACGGCACAAAATCGACAACGGCGTCACATCTCCGTCCGGCACAAGCATGATCCACAACTAAATGCTGGCTGTTCGAGTGCATGGAGAAGCGTTGCACGAGCAGCGCGTTCAAGTAACCCATTGGTGTCAAACAGCCTACGAACGTGAACTAACATCCACTGCACATTGCTGAGATGCGAGTCAACGTTACATGGCTGGTGGCAACACTACCCGCGCCGACGGCGTCGCCTCTCCGCGCAGCAAAGTCAGCGGGAACCGCTTGTCTGACACACCGACTCCATAGCGTACACATGTCTGTGCGTGGACGCTTTGGTGAGCCGGCCACAGTAAAGATGGCTATATGAATTGCCGTGTAATTTTCACACACGATGGGTTCCACCTAGCCGTGACAATATACGACATACGATGGGTTCCACCTAGTCGTGACAATACACGACACACGATGGATTCCACCTAGTCGTGACAATACACGACATACGATGGGTTCCACCTAGTCGTGACAATACACGACATACGATGGGTTCCACCTAGTCGTGACAATAGACGACATACGCTCGCGGCTGTCCGATAACGGAGACGGGCGCAGCGCTCGCGAGAGGGCGCATGTCGTGGGGTTTAAGACGGTGGCACTAACAGGTTTTGGAAAGACCAAACCGTCGAAAAGATGCCGCAAAGCTACAGCAACAATGGATGTGGCGCCCTGATACGCAGGGAACTGCCATTTGGCACGAAAATTGAAACTTAAACAATTAAATCAGGACACGTTGCGCATCAGTCACATACTGATCGATATCAAGCGGCAAAAGGCCGTACCAGACACCAACGGCATCGGCCCTTCGCGCAGCCGAGCAATCGATAATCAAAACTGTACGTTTTTATTATATGTTCCGCGTGAGATAAACAGCAGTGCGAGGGTAATTTGGCTGACATCAGCGTTAGACAGGCTGCAAATGCTAAGTGAAGTCTGCTTCACAGCGTTCAGATGTAAGTCAGTGTCACATCGCGGATGGCGGCACCACCAGCGCCAAGGGCGTCACTTGTTCACGCAAGGAAGTAAGCGTGGCCGATTGTCCTATCTGCATTTATCGCTCGATATTGTGATCACCATTGATCTACGGGCATGGTGATTATCGGGCATTATCACGCCTTGATATCAGATGTTACGTAACACCCCATCCGCAAGCTTCAAACCATTGAGAAATCGACCGAGGCTTAACTCATACTTAAACAGGAGATACAGGAGTCTCAGGTCGGGTATTCTGTTTACTGCAACAGCAACCTCTCAAAATTACAGTCATTCCTGCAACGCACCTCACAAACTCCTTACGCGCCCACTCTTCCGACCCAGGCGCAGCAGCGCGAGGACTCGACACAGTCTGCACCTCCAACACAGGCACACGGCACGCCCACCGGCCATCTGGGACGACATACCCCCACATCTCACCATCTCACCTGTCAGCTTGTTGGACGACGCCTGTCACGGCTACTATGTGACGCCGTCGGCTGGCGGCACGGTCCGAAGGCCAGTCGCAGTGTCCGCGCCCCGTGCTGCCGCGTCCGGACGCGGAGTGCGCGCCGCCCGCCGCCGGCGGCCGGTTTTGGCGCGTGACGCGTCGGCCCGGGCCGCCAGCGCCGGTCAGGGCACGGCTTCTGACGCGCCCACCACTCATTTCGGGGAACGGTGGTCCGAGCACGGCCGCCACAGCCAGTGACGCCTCTGAGCTCTGTAAATATTTGGCCCCGGACGCGGCGGCATGCTCCACTGTCGACAGCTGTCCAGAAGAGAAGCAGGCGTCACGTGCCGCATCGCGGCAACTCGCTCCTAGTTGTACCACGTAATGTCCGGGGCACGTGCTGGTGGAAGCTTTCAGTTGCCAGCTCTTTTTAAAACTTCTGCAAGAACAACGTGCGGATCGGACAATGCGTTGCTGTTTTCGGTATGGTTACAAATAGAGCACTTCGCACTCGCGAATGATTAATGTTGGTCTGTTCGGGCGAGGCGCGATTTTCTTCAGAGGGTTATTCATTCCTCTCACTGGCTACAGTGACGTAACATAATCTGATCTAATTTATGATACAAATGAGCACCCAGTTCAGTTCACAGCAAGCGATACTATGGTTTTCGGAATTATTGTAGTGAATCTTAACCCCGAAACAATCTTGTGCGCTATGAATGAGAAGAGAACACTCCTTTCTTAGGAATGCCTACGGAATAATCAACTTGATGAATGATCTAACGCATATTGAAATGGGGAAAAAACGGAAAAGCAACAGCAATTGGAAGAACTAAGACAAGAGGAAATGCAAGGCTTACATGCTGGTTGCCAATAGAGAATCACTAAAAATCACGAGAAATATCACCGACCAGCCAACCACCAACCAAAGAATACCGTACCCGCAAATACCCACAGTGTCAATGTCGATCCACGTCACTTTTCATGTCATGTGTAAAAACAACGCCAGTTACCTATTTTATAACCACAATGTGGCAGAGCAATTGCATACTCTTCTTGAGAGTTAAAGACTGAAGATGTTCCCGCGACACAGGCGTTTAAACAGGCTCTTAAGACTGTGATGAGCGCGAAAACACCAGACCGTGTTTGATCCCCGTTGAATTCTTTAAACTGTTTTCGACTGCCTCAAGCATTTCCACTTACCGAGTGTTCTTGAGCTGATAATCTGTGAGCCATTGCAGAAAACTATGTTTTGTTTGGTTTGTAGCATAAAGCTACCAGGCACCATGAGGGGGAAGGGTATCAACCCCATCCCTAGAAAACCAGGCACCATGAGGGGGAAGGACATCAACCCCATCCCTAGAAGCCAGGCACCATGAGGGGGAAGGACATCAACCCCATCCCTAGAAGCCAGATTAACTCATGTCATCCTATGACGCTGTTAGATGTCAGCTACAAGATAATGCTAGGAATGCTATGCAACCTCTGCAAGATGGTGGGGCCGGGTCAGACAGATCCCGAGCAGGCAGCTTTTTGTTGCGAAACCGGTTTACTGACGACAACATTATGATTACAAATGACAGAATACAGAACTTCAAAGAAATAAAGCTTCCCAGAATGCTCATCAGCTCAGGTTTCGTAGTTGCTTTAGCTCGAAACGTGGTTATTTACCCGACAGGTTAAAGATGCCGATTTCCACCCAGTTGCATCGTCTGATTTCATCCAGCATGTGTGATCTTCTCAAGAATCTGATGCGATGGGCACCTACCCGAGAAAATTAGGCTGCACAGATAGTTTGATCGAGGTAGTAATCTCAGTTGTTACCTTTTGCGCAATAGGTAATTGAATGTCTTACCAAGGAACTTCATGACGGAAACGACATTATATTTATAAGGGTAGTCAAGGTGGAGTATAGCATATGGTGACGTATAAACATACGCCTAATAAAATGTCGTGATAGACCGACGGCCCACGTACGCACTTCTGGACGACAACATTTTCAACATAAGAGCCCTGTTTCGATGAACTTGGCGTGTTCGCTAAGCTCTGTAGCACCCATCTAAAGGAAAGAAAAAGGCGCAGGCAATATGAGTTGGACATATTAAAAATATGTCACACTGCAGCATGACCGGCAGCTAGAGGGGATGACCAAAATATGGTACACTGCAGCATGACCGGCAGCTAGAGGGGGTGACCAAAATATTGCGCTTTGCCTTTCAGAGCGGCTGCGATAACATGCTCCACCACAATTATTGTGATAAGCTAAAGGCTACTAGCGAAACAATCTGAGAATAGCAAATATAAACTCCCACTTTAGTGTGACAAACACAGCTGTTAAGCCAAAACCTCTATCAAAACGAACACATTTGTGCGCGGTATTGCCTTTCCCTCATTCACATTATCTTCAATAATTGAAACATTGGTATTTCGTGTATCTCAACTAAAAAGTGATGAACTAAGTGAAAAACAGCTGTCCAACGCAACTTAAAACAGGCATGGCAACGACTGACGCGTAGTCCCCCACAACTGTTTTAACGATGTCGCAAGTCAGGAAGCAGATGACCTCTACGCCTAAAAGGAGAAGATCTTTTCATCTCCTCTGGAGGAGATCATCTCTCACCTTGGAGATGGACTCGGATTCATTGCATAACGCTGGCAGTCCGATGGACAATGCTTCCTGGAAAGAGCTCGTCCAGACCCTTGCAACATTTAATGAAGCTCACACACTCAAAGACAATGGCATAGCCTCATGTCCAGTCTGGTGCTCAGACCACAGGCAATTTTGTAAGGATTGGAATACGAGGTGGCATGCACCTGGGATTCGTTATTCAAGTGGTTTGCCTGGAGAAGATTACGTACATATGAGGTGCCGACTGCCGAGCTAAATTGCTACTAGACCCAGTGTCTCTTGATCCCAAAGGACTTAGGGAGAGCCTTCTATCACGCCTGAGGTTGTGAGGGCAAAGAGTAACACAGCCAATTATACATTTCACATAGTCTTAGGCGTAAACACGAGTGACACGCTGCATACGAATTTGTCTGCGATCACTGAAACACATACTTTGCCGTCTGTATCCACATGTCCAAAGAAAGCTCTTGGCCCCTTTAAGTCAATACCAAATTGACGCCAGCAATTTTTGTACTGAGATGCACTGCGGTGCGTGAAATGAAATGCTGAAAAAGTGCGGTTCAGCTACTAAAAGTTTTATGTAGGCCGGTACAGCAATGCCTGTGCCATGTTGACTGTTTCTTTTGTTTCATCAGAACGAAGTGGGCAGTTGCGCCAACTTCCGGGAAGCATTCCGTGTGACCAAACGTAACCTTTTATAATGTCATCCGAGATGGACAGAGTATAGTGATCAATTTGCTTCCACCTGTGTGCTGTACTGAAATGGTGATACCGCATGCGAATTACAAAGATTATACACTTGTTTTAGCTTCAACTAAAACATGTCCTTGGTCTTTGCTCTCAGATCATGATCATTGTGATAGAATTCTTGCTCAGAATCTTTCATCAAATCGAATGTCCTGAACCGCGTCTCGAAATCGCCACCCAGTCCTGAGATATTCAGAGGTATCGTTCACAGCGCCCTTTACGCGCGTTTCGGCGAGGCTCAAAACCAAAACACATTTACCTTGTTACTTATCAAGGTAGGTCATGTAAGCAAAGGTCCCAGGTCACGAGGCAAACAAGACAAACAAAAAGAAAAAGTCGAAATTGCGAAAAGGTGGATCACATCATGGTAAGTTTATCAATATGAGAGCTATAAAGAAGACTCGGATCACTTGGCTACAAGATATAAACTGCTGAAGACAGTTCTACAGCGTACCGTCTTGAAAATATCCGAAACTTTAAGTAACTTGAGGGTGGAACCGTGTTTACATTATTTTGTCATGGAAGACCAAATTTTGTCATGGAAGGCCTCCGATACGAAGTCGTTACGTCTGCCGCATGGTTTAACTTTACTGCTTACTTGCTCAGGCCAGGCAGTACTGGCAGTAATTGGCACCAGATCAACACGGGCTACGTCGATCATGCGACTGATCATGCGTAGTGTTAAGCCGTGTACATCCATGAAGTGACGCAAAACCCTATGGCAGACGCTCGGGAACATATACAGTTATATGCATGGATGTTTTCGCTGCGAGGGCGCCATTGGTTTCTTAGGACGCGCTCAGGTGAGGCAAAGTTGACCCTCCTCCACAAAGTTCTTCCTAGAATTACTTCCAAACTCTGCGTACATACCGCGCCACACGTTGCGAAGCTGTTATAGTTTGCAAAGTTTTTACAGTGAGTGAATTGATTAGTCAGCCTTTTAGTATAATACAACTAGGTGTACCTTGCCAGTCACTGGCGTATGGCTGGTAGCGAATACAATCTCTAGGAACCGTTGAATCTGATGTACAACAGAGTGTTAGATAAAGCCATTCACCTTTTGAAGTAGTTTCTTAGACAATTAGCTGATGCTCCAGTGGTCTTAGGCCAGGTATGAGGTTCAGGTCGATGTTGAAACCAAATCACCCTTTTACTGGGAACTTGGTTATTTGGGGTGTTTTTTGACGCTTGTTTGGATTTTTCTTGACCGCAGTGACGTTAACAGTGTCTTATTTAGAGGTCATACAGGTCAGAGAAGGTCACTTGTTTTTAGGAGCATACCGCCTGGCCACACTTGACACCAGCGCTGACACCGGCGCTGACGCTCCGCGCCAACTCTCTCACACCACTGGAGACACAAACCTGACGACGAGCAAGTCAAGCAAACAAAACTATATTGCAAAAGACGCGCATCCACAGTGCGCGGCTGGTAAGCCTGTGAGCTTGCAAATACGCTGGTAAGGCAAGTGATCTGATGAAAAGGTTTATAGGGGCAAAGCCCGTCAAGGAAGCTCTGGGACTTCGCGCCCTGACGCCCAGAGATATGGTGCATGATGACGCCTTCCAGGCGGCAATGGCGACATGGTTCACGACTTCCGGTACGGAATAGATGACCAACAGGACCAGGCGCTGGCGCTGATTACGGTATATGTTTGGGATTTATGTGCTCCACGAAACATTTTAATGCAACTTGACGGTGCAGACACATGTACTTGCACCCTGTTGGTTTATTCACACCGTGCACTTCA